GGGGGGAGGGTCAGAGTGAAAGGACTATTGGATATCTAGAAATGGGCCAGATGCCTCTGTTAAGATGCCAGGGACTGGGCTGTGTGGGAGAATCCAGGGCCTTTAAGGGGGTCCAGGTCCCATTGCCCCATCACCCCTAGTGTTTATTGAGTTGGGGGGGGTGACATGATCAGACATGCACTGTAGGAAAATCACTTTAGTGGCTGAATGGAAAATTAGTCAATCATAAGGGACTAAACAAGGATAAACTATATTCTAATATAGGGAGATGATATATGTGCCATTAAGAATCACAGGGAGACAGGACCTAGGAGTAGTTTTGTTACATTTTGATGATCTTAAAAGAAAAAAGTGGAAAGGGAGGGAAAGAGGACTGGGGGAGGGGGCAGGGGAAGGGAGAGGAAAAATGGGGGAAATTGGCTCTCTTAATTGGGGTCTATACAAATAAGGGGTGGAAGAGAGAGGGTGACACTTGAATCTCATCTAAACTAGTCGGAGGAGGGAAGAATACACACATTTGGATACAAAAATATATTGCACTCAACAGGGAAACAGGAGGAAAAGGGGAGGGATAAGAGGGTGAATAGACTAGGGGAGGGATTAATCTTAAGGAAAACCAACTTAAAGAGAGAGCAAGAAAAAGAAAAGTTAAAAGACTAGGATAGAGGAAATCCAATTAAAAATCATAGCTGTAATGTAATGAATTCACCTATAAAACAGAAGAGGAAAGCAAACTAGATTAGAAAACAGCATTCGACAATGTTATTTGCAAGAAACACTTGAAACAGAAAGATGCACACAGAATGACAATAAGTGGTTGAAGCAAAATCTCTTACACTTCCACTGATGTAAAAATGGCAGGGGTTGCAATCATGATCTCTGACAAAGCAACGATTAAATAGACTTAAAAGAGAAACAAGGACATTATGTTTTTACTAAAAGGTACCACAGACTGAATTAATATCAAGACTAAATATAAATATGCCAGATGTTATGGCATCTAAATACATAAATAAGCTAAATGAGTCACAGGGAGAAATCATAAAATAATTCAAGATAGACTTGAATAGAATTTGAGATAAGTTAGATGAGATAGAACTTGAGAGATCATTGAGTGAGAATAGAAGCCATGCATAGTACCTTCACAAAAATGGACCCTGTATTAGGGCATAAAAGCTTTGTACATGCAGAAATATTAAATGCCTCTTTTACAGACCACAATGCAATAAAAAGTATATGCAGTAAAGGACCTCTAATGAAATGATTGAAAAGTAATTAGGGACTAAATAATTTATTCCTAAAGAATGGGCAAAATGCAAATCATAGAAACAATTTTATTAAAGATAATGATAACATACCAAGATTTTTGAGATGCAACCATAGCAACTCATAGGGGAAGATTTATATCGTTAAACACTTATCAGTTAAAAAAAAAAAAAAGAACAGGTCAACATATTGGGCATGCAACTAAAAAGAAAATTTAAAACCCACTAGAAAACCAAATTTTAAAATCCCAATTAAACACCAAAATGGAAATCCTGAAAAATCAATGAGATTAACAAAAATCATAGCAAAAAAACCGAAACAAAACAAAAACAATTCCATTAATAAAACCTGAAACTTTTTTGGGGGAGCGGAGAGGAGATAATAAGAGACAAACCATTAGCTTGCTTGATTAAAAAAAAAAGAAAACCACATTACCAGTATCAAAAATAAAAAAAGTAAATTCCTAACTAATAGAGAAGAAATAAAAGGAAATATTAGGATCTATTTTACCCATTATATACCAATAAAATTGACAATCTAAATGAAATGAATGAATATTTACAGAACGTAAAATGCCTTTATTGACAGAACTAGAAATAGAGGATTTAAATAACCAAATCTTAGAAAAAGAAATTGAACAATCCATAAATTAACTCCTGAAGGAAAAAAAAAACTCAAGACCAGATGGATTTGCAAGCAAGTTCTCAAACATTTAAAGAACAATTAATTCCAATATTACATAAACTGAAAAAGTAGGAAAAATAAGGGGTCTTAACAAACTCCTTCTAAAATACAAATATGGTTTTGTTACCAAAACTAGGGAGAATCAAAGCAGAGAAAGAAAACTGGACCAACGTCCCTAATGAACGTTCATGCAGAAAAAAAAAAATATTAGCAAGGAGACTACAGTAACATTACTGTACCCAGATTATATACTTTGACGAGGCTAGATTTATATCAGGAATACAGGTCTGGGAAACTTTAAGCCTAATTGACTATATCAATTAAAAGAACAACAAAAATCACGATTATATCAATAGATGCAGAAAAAGCTTTTGAAAAATATAACATCCATTCCTGTTTAAAACAACTCTAGAAAGCATCGGAATAAATGGAATTTCCTTAATATAAGTAGTATCTCTAAAATTGTGAGTCAGCATAATCTTTAATGGGGATAGACTAGAGGCCTTTTCAGTAAGATCAGTGGTGAAGCTAGGATGTCCATTATCACCATTACTGTTCAGTATGGTACTGGAATTACTAGTTATAGCAGTAAGATAAGAAAAAGAAAATGGGAATAAGCATAGGCAAAGAGTAAACAA